TAAAGCTTTTAATGGATTATATTTTGTCTGTTCAATGACTTTATGGTAAGGGAGTGAACGGTTGGATATAATTTTTATACTTATTATAAGCTCTTAGATAAATCAAAATAAGTGTGTATTTAATATATATATAAAAATGTAAGTTGTTTCAAGTTTTTATATTAAATTATGAAGTTGTATAAAAGGCATTTAAACGGTATGAATGCACCGGTATGTCCAATAAATTGTATATAAATAATCATACATTGATACTAACTTAGGGATGATCAGGATGTTTTGCCAAATAAGTCCACAAAAATTATAGATCGATAACAAACAAACATTAATTGTCATTAAATTATCAAAAAAGTATACAAATAGTTATTACATTAATTAAATTAAATATAATTTATTTTTAATTAATAATTACAGTTTCTTAAAACATAAAAATGAAATTATATTATTATTTAGCTTAATATTTGTAAAATTACAATTATTCATAACTGATCATGAGCATCTATTTAAACAAATCAATAATCATGAAGTAATTAAGACTAGCGATGTATACGTATTGAAACAACTCATAGCTATTCATAGGAAACAAATCCAAACAATAGTAACTGATTGACGGTCCGGACAGACACTCCATGAATGTCTGCACCCGTAGCCTATCCGTCACCGACAACACCGGACGGTTAACCGACAGATACCTAAATAGTATGTTGTATGGTCTGTGAGCCCACTTCGAGATCTTGGTGCTGAATATAACTGTCAAAATGACCACGCTAAGTGTAAGCATCATAAACACAACGTTGGCTACTTTGGCACCAGTCGTGATCTTTGTGTTATGAATGGCATATAAACTTAACTGAATGCCAGTCGTAGCGATATAATAGATAACAAACAGTATATACCGGTAGAAATGGTTGGCATCCCTTACCTGCCGTTCCCAGTAATTATGCACACGTATGTAGTGTATTAATTGAGCGGGGTTATTATTGATAATTGCCTGCACAATATTTTCGTAAATTACTTGAAACGTAATGCCTGAATAAATTGCGGCTAAAAAGCATATTAAATCTCCATATAATATAGCACTAATAGACTGGCTAAATGACAATAATATTTCTAAATCATAAAGTATCATGGTCATAAATCGTATATAAGTGGGCATTTGAATGAACAAGATCATAGTCATAATAGCATATAATGAGCAGAATAAAATTATTTGCGTATAATAAACAGGCCAAATTATATATTTGCCAATCATATTGCCCACAAATAACAATGTACGCTCCCTGTCCCTTTTAATTGAATATTTATACAGGTGATATTTATAATTATAATACATGCGATAATTATGTAATGTGCCTGTTAGCTCAAGGTAAAGTTCAATCATTGTTATGGTCAATATACTTAAGAAACCCAAAATGAGCATTGTGTAAGCTAGTTTAGCATTGCCGATAAATTGATCCATGTTAAATAATGCATTTAATACTTCAGGGTCATTTACAAATAGACTTAACCCGAAGTGAATCATATTTAGTAAGATAATAAACCGTAAGACAATTATTACTGTTAGCCTACCGGTGCTCCAGTGGCCGGTCATGTACTCATCGGTACTGCGGTATAGCGTGACGAATGTGTTGGCGCCGAACCGCTCCATCATTTCAACGCCAGCCCTCGCGTCCATATTATTGTCGATAAATGTTTTGATTTTACGCTTAATTACAGTTAGTTTTGAATTATATTTGCGTTTAATTGCGGTCACAATTTGATTTAATTTTGTCATGGTACAATTATATTAAATAATAATGCTATTTATTAATAGAATTATGTATGATGAATTTAATAAGTAGACTTGAATGGTTTAGAATTATAAAAGTTATTTGAATAAATATTGAGTTCAAAATGATTTTTCCATAATACAAAAATTTCCATATCAATATTATTAATCAATAAAATATATTAAAAGTTTTATTTTAAGTTTTCGAGTTTTATATATAAAATATTATAATTATAATTTTATGCCATTATACTTTATTAATGTAATTTACTGTAGTATTAATTTATTAATATTGATTTGTGTGTGAGAAGCATTATTGGAAAAATTAAGTAAAATATAATATTTAAAAATAAAAATTATTTTTATATCTAACCATACAAAACAAACATTATATTTGGGATCATTTTAAGATTTAAAAACAATGTCATTGTTTAATATAAAAAACTTTTTAATGAATTATATATTATCTGTTCAAAGACTTTATGGTAAGGGAATGAATGGTTGGATATAATGTTAAACATAATACTGTAAACACAATAAATAATATTTGTTATGAGCAATGTTGCTAGTTTAAAGTATATTGATGTATTAAAATAATTTAAATTTATTAACTAAATCAATAAATAACTTAACTAACTTTTAAAACAAATAGATATAGTTAGCAATTGATTTAATTTTGTTTATAATTAGTTACTTTTGTTAATAGTTGAGCTAGTTGTGTTCATAATTTACTAATTTATATTTCCCAATTAAATTTATTTTTAGAAACACACACAAACACACACACACACACACTTTTGAGGGGTCTGGTACACAGAATAATGAGGCAAGTACTTTTTGGTAATTAACCTCGAACATAAGTTAAAATATCATTTACGAAACAGATTTTCATCGAAAACAAATTAAATATAAAATTAAAATCATAAAAATATTACCGACAATGAGTGGCGCACGGAATAAAAGTAAGAATATTCCCGGGAATATGCCCGTAATCCCCGGGAATTTAATTAGTTGTACGCCTACTACTAATAGGCTATTAGTATTGCTAACTATTATCATAATTAACAGGGAATGGTAGCGTAGATTCTACTACTGGTATACAGTATATCTATATCTATATATATCTTGAGTAATTAAACTTATTTATGTTTCATAAAACAATACTACTATTATTATATTGGTAAAGTTATTAAAATTAAATTTAAAATTAATTTTGTAATGTGCTTGTTTACACTGAAATTAAAATAAAATGTTTAGTTTTATATTAAGTTTTATAGTTTTATATATAAACTATTATAATTATAATTTTATGCCAATATGGTACAATTTATTAATGTAGTAATAATTTATAAATAAAGTATTGATTTGTGTGTGACGGGCACTATTGGAAAAATTAACTAAAATATGTGGTAATATTAAAAATTAAGTAAAATATAATACTTAAAAATAAAAATTATTTTAATTTCTAATCATACAAAACAAACATCATATTGGGGATCAATTTAAGATCTGAAAACATTGTCATTGTGTATTAAATATATAAAGCTTTTAATGGATTACATTTTTTTCTGTTCAATGACTTTATAGTAAGGGAGTTAACGGTTGGATATAATTTTTATACTTATTATAAATTATAAGCTCTTAGATAAATCAATATAAGTGTATTTAATACATAAAAGTTTCTATATTAAATTATGAAGTTGTATAAAAGGCATTTAAATGGTATGAATGCACCGGTATGTCTAATAAATTATAAACTTATATAAATAATCATACATTGATATCAATTATGATGATCAGGAAGTTTTGCCAAATAAGTCAAAAATTATAGATCGATAAGAAACAAACATTAATTGTCATTAAATTATCAAAAACCATACAAATATCTATAACTTATTAATGCATAAATTATAAAGTTTTTCATTTTATTATTATTAAACGGAAAAATAAATTACTATACAACCTTATATTTATACAGTGTATAGTTTATTAGCAAGCAGATGTTATGACAGCTATCCCCACAAGCCGTGTGTGAGACGGTGTCTCTAGGATTGCCAGCTATCCCTTGNACAATTCATGAGCCTAGTTATGCCATGAAAATTCAATGCAATTCTTGCTAGTTAATAAATAATGCATTCGCTGTAAGAAATAGATATATATTTTTGTTGAAAACTTTTCAAATCCATTCGTATTTAGTATTTCATAACATCGATAGAAATCACAACTCAATTAACTCGCTCTCGGAGTATAATATTGTATATAAATGAAAGTGAAATCGATTTTTGTCATCAGAGATAAAAACCTTAACTAAAGTAAAACATGTCTTATAAGGGAGTATAGTATAGGGAAAGACGTTTTTTGCAGATAATTTCGGTGTTATTCGAGAGCCTTATTGTTGATCCGAGTTATCAAATGGGAGTGAATTCGTTGACTAAAACTTCAATGAAAATCATTAGTAAAAAAAGAGAGAATAATATGAGACAACAAAACAAAGTATTGTATCGTTTGGTTGAGAGAAAGTCAAACAAAATTAGGTTTTCGTATAAAAAGTGATACAAACCTCAGATTACATGAGATATTTGCTTACATATAAAAAATACTCTCATTTCACGTAAGAATAATTAGAGAATATTCTGTAAGTATTACAATATTTTTATATAATTAGAGAATATTCCGTATGGATTACACGATAATTTTATTTATAATTCCGGTATTGAAATGAGAAAAAAATTTATTTCATAATATTATATTAAAAGGCATTCAATGCTATCAAAAACAAAATCTTATCAAATGTTTAGACTTTAAACTCATTTCTCCATAAATCCAACGCAAACATCAAAGTGTCGTAAAAATCATGAAAAATCGCAATTTATCTTAATATTTGAGACACGATCGGAAGCACCGGTCCCTCCACTCCAGGCGCTGAACGTATTCCTCGGATTTCCTATCATTGGGCTGAGGCTGAGGCTGAGCGGGAGGTTGCGGTCGATACCGATCTACCGGATCCGGCGCTCTATTGGCGACCGTCTGATCATTACTATTGACGGCCGTCTCGTATCGTCTCGTATGGGCGTAATTGGGGTAATGCTGCGGATCTCGTCGGTCATCCCTACGATCATCGGTACGCCTGTCCTCCCGGCGCTCATCCCTTCTGGCGCCACAGTTGGCCTCGTCGTCACCGTACGAGCAATGGTAGGTTCCGTCGCTTTTTAATGACAATAATTACTGAAATTAACTATATATTTACTAAGGGATAGCCCCATACCAGACGTGTCGACTCTCGATGCACTGGGAGGGCACGGAGTTGATGCCGGTGCCGTGGCACTGGTACTGCTCCTGAGTGCACTTCTGATGGGGTGATCGGCCACGACTCAGCTGATCCGTACTGCAGCCGCTCTCGTCGTCCGAGTTCTCGCAGTCTCGCATACCATTGCACCGCCACTCCTGCGGTATGCAACGTGTAGGTGCCGTGGGATCGGTTTTCTGGCACTGGTATTGCCCGCTGTGGCACGTCTGCGGATACCCTGATAACGCATATAATTTAGTAATTGCTGTCAAATCTATGGGGTATATGTGATAAACCTCTGCCACTGACAGCGCTGTAGTCTGGCTGAGGCAAGGGATCTGACGAGCCGGGGATTTGTGGCCTATTCTGGTCGACAGCCGGCTGCACGGGTAGGTCCGACTCGTCCGGTCCGAGCTCCTGGACGGGCGTCAGCTCCGGCTTGGCGTCTAAGTCGTCGTCCTGATTGCTGATGTCGTGGTCGGAGTCGCCGTTATCCTCGTCCTCGTCGTCCAGATCTGACTGCAGTTTCTGGTGCTTATCGGTGAAGAGGTTCTCCGACTCCGACTCTACGATGACTTCCGATAGGGTGGTGTCGGCGCCGGTGGTGTCAATGTATGCCGCGAATGACACTTGAATTAAGCACACGATTAGTGTAATTGAAATTAAATTCATGTTTTTTTGCGATGAGTTGTTGAATGTATGAGACGTTTGTCTGGGACTCCGACTGGAAGTCGACTGAAAAACTGAAAAATGTTATGTTTCTCAAGAAATGTGAAACTTTTTTCTCGTTGGTTATCATTGATATCAAACTTTTTTTGGTAAATTTATGAATCGAGATAAGTTTCGATGAGAATTTTGTCTTAAAGTGTAGTGTCTTATGTTAACAGTAAAAAAGTTGTTATTAAACATGTTTTTATGAATATGTGATTTATTTATAATTAGATATAACTTTACATGTTTTATACCTAACACCATTTAATAAACACTCAATTATTTAGCAGTCAATTACATAAACCATTCAACTGATTATAAATGTTTTTTTAAATTTAATACTCAATTGATTAAGTGTATTAAGTATTATATGAATCTATTAGTGCTTAAAATATTGATATATAATATTTATATAATTCGGGATAAAGTATAATAACCTATAATTTAAATTTAAAATAAATGATTAAAAACATAATTTATAATTAACTAGAAATATAACAAAATACTGTACCAATGAAATAAATGTGCTAGCTATGCTTTTATATTTTTAGACAACAATTCATACTATATGTAGAGATAAACTCATGAAATTAGAGATTTTGCAAAATACGGGAAAAATCTCAGACATCATTGCAAAGACATTTTTGGAGGACTTGTAATCAATTATAAAACTTAAAACCAATTGAACCCTAATATGTAATGTATTAATAATATTTTAAGCAATGACAGATATTATTTCATTTGTTTGCAAATACTGTAACACGTTTGTGTGAAATAAAAAAAATCCACTTTAAAATAAATTTTAAGTGTCAATAAAAAAATACAAAACAAATCATTGAATATATAAATTATTTAACTTAACGTCTGGCCATAGAATAACATTTAAATAAATTATTTCTAATGTCATTAACGCCTTTATATTCAAAATATTTGCAGTACTTTATTATAAACTCCCACGTAAAACATACATGATTTGCAATCAAATGGATAACTATTCAATCATTTGCCGTATATTAATGATAGACCATTAAAATTTAAATAAGTTTTTATAATGCAAGTATCATTCAAGTATATTTACTTATTTTGTGTTTGCATTTTATGTGATTAATGAATATTTATAGCCAAATATCAAGTGCCTAGGTTTTAATTTGTGTGCTAAAACTTTATTTGGAGTTCAATAATTGATTGAACAAGTTTATCAGTATATATTATTTCATAGATTATATAATTGACTGCTTGCTTATATGAACTTGAATTGAGTCCAATATATTTAATCCTTTATTTATAAAATCAATCAATTTATATAAATAACGACATAAAATAATAAATAAAAATTAATATATAAACAGTGAGCTAGTTAACAAACCTAAAATAAATTGATTAATTAGTTATAAACTTATTGTTATAGACATCTCAATACGAAAGTATGTTTGAGATTAATGTCTTACAATATATTTTGATATTGATTTATAATGTTTAACCAAAAATTATGGGATAGTCTTAAGGTTTAGAGTAAAGTATAGACTTATCTATTGTCTAATTATATTGGAGGAAAAAATCTGAGGATTTTCTTCCTAAACATTGCTGAGTGAGAGAGAGAGAGAGAGAGAGACTCTGTTTGCTATCTATCAGCAAAAGGGCCAAAGTCTGTGGCGATAAATCATTTTGCTTTCAATATTGCTTTGATTTCGCGGTATATCTACTTCTAGTGAACCCTAAAACTCAACAAAATGTCACTTAAATAATTAAAGTCTCAATAATTCACGACAAAAATTAATAAAAAGTTATGAATCTCTGCAAACAAAATGCTAAATGATCTCAAAGTAAACACAAATATATAT